ACGCACTAAAACGAAAACCACCAACCTTCTTTAAAAACACACTACAGCATCCGCACAAGCCATTTAAAGAAATGCTGGCCACACTTACACTTTCATAAAAGAGCGTCCCAAAAATCTTTGCCTTGTTGTTCAGGCAGCCCGCTGGGCACTGGTACCTGAGGGAGATGAAAGAAAATGACGTTCAGAGGTAAACATGTTGATGAAAGCTCACCTGTCATTAAAGCTCACTTATTTATTTTTTTTTCTTTAACAGCTCTATTAGTACATGTAGAAATGCTTCAGTGATGTAGAATCCATCATTTTTCAAGCAAGGCACAATTTACCCAGGCTGAAGTTTCTAGCCACATAAACACAATTGCAGACTCAATTTGACCTTCTTAGGGACTATTTTTATAGGCTTAATTAAGATTTGTGCTTAAGGCAGGTTCATGAATATTTGGACTATTCACAGAAGATAGATAACTGACAGCAGAGGCACCAAAAAAAAAAAATCCTCAAACATCAGTCATCTAAGAGATGCAAATTGAAAGGAGATGCCATTTCTAGGTGTCAAATTGCAAGGGTTTTTTTTTTTAATAGAATAAAAATCAATGATGAAACAACAAACAACTGAATGATGGCGTTCACGTTCATGAAAAAGTATACATTAATCTTTCCAGAAAGCCTGAAATCCGTTGATCCTGGAACTTCCCTTGTAAGTTATATCCCAAGAAAAAAGTCAGAGAGTCAGGAATGTTATTCCAACTGTTTATAATGGTAAAAAACTGGAGATAAGCCAGCAGGTGTTGAAGGAATGGCCAAACATTTTTGTGTAGCCATACATCAAGGTGTTAAGCAGCCACTGGAAATGAAGCTTTTGAGGAATATTTAGTGACTCCAGGAAATCTTAAGTGAAAATTAACACACAAGATCATATGAGCAGTATCAGCCTAATCAGTGTGTGGAAAAAAGATGGGGAGGAAATACAGCAAATTGCAAAGGATATTGAGGAAATTCCAGACATTTTTTTCCCCTTTATATATTTTTGTTGTTGTTGTCTTCCTGAATTACAATGAACAAGAATACCTTCTAAAGTCAGAAAATAAGCCTAGTAAACACTATTTTGTAAAAGAACCAGGTACAGAAAGCTGATGTACCAGGTGATGGGACAGCTTTTAGGCAACCTGTAAACGGATGCTCTCATTTTTACAGGGTGGGGTGAGTTATAGTTCTTGACAGGAGGCTTCTAAGCCTCTAACAGTTTTCGTGCAGACAGATTCCTGCCTCCTCCCCACCTGGGTAGGGTCCCATCTGCCCCTGACTCTGGAACTCTTTCAATGCTGTCTGACAAGGGATGTTCTCCAGACCTTGTAATTTCTTTCCATTGAATACTCAGGCATGATGCTCTCATAATGAGTTTGTGAGACAGAAAGTCACATCATCACAAAGGGACAACACAGGTGTGTTCCCAAAACCCTAAACCCATGAGTTTGTGGAGTGGATACCCCTTCCAAACGTTGTCTACTTTCTGCCCAATTCATCCAGTACAACACACAGAGATGAAAATGTCCCCAACATTGTGCACAGGGACAGCTATTGCATCAGGCCTCATTGCCACATCTTGCTCATCTCACCAGCAAATGGGCTGTTTACTTTCGCAGTCCTTGCTGGCCTAGTGCCAGCTGCTCACGGGACAACATATGAGCCTCCTGAACGACCTCACCCTGGGTTGCTCAAAGTGTATTATTTCATAACACTCCTGCCAAAGTCTGAGCCAGGCATGCTGGTGCACCAAATTCCAAATCCCTGTGGTCCTGCTCTTTTTAGCACGCTTTAAATGATGTGCTCCAGCTTCAGATGAATTAGTGCCAGAGCCCACAGTAAGACAAGTAGGACCCCTCTACCCATGACATGGTTTTCCTACCATCACCTGAGGTTGTGCGTGAGGCGGCTGCACCTGTTGGCTGTTCATTGCCAGAAAGAGCGGCCCAACAGCAGCACTGCCAAAACCAAGTTCGTTCTTCTTGGCAGACGTTCTTCAGCACCCAAATGGACAATACTCAGTGACTCCATTAGCTAGATGAATTCATTCAACTACCCGGGGTTATGCTGGCAGCTGTTCCTCCGGGGGCCAGGAATGGGGGGGGGGCACCAGGAAGCAGGCCTGCTGGTTCTGTCAATGGCCAGGGCGCCGCACGTGCCCTAACACTGCCCCAATTCTAACCCTCCCTGCACAGAAGTCTGGGCCACCCTGTGACCCCGTCACAGGGAGAGGTGGAATGGAGCCCCCAACCGTGCAAAAACGTTGGTCAAAATCGTCATGTCTATAGTGAGTCTGCTACATGCACATCTGGCATTTCTCCAGTTTGGGAATTCCTTTGGAACCAATAACCCAGAGCATCTGTAATTTAGACAGCTCCTCCCCACTAGGGATGAAATACTTAGCTGGAATATAGTCCAGACAGGAGACCAGAGCTTGGGCCAATCCTCCGGATCAAAGATTACCGACTAGGGTGACCTTACCCCTCAGGGGACACTGGCAATTTCTGGAGACATTTCTCGTGATCACAACTAGGGAGGTGCTTCTGGCATCCGGTGGGTCCAGGCCAGGGATGCCGCTCACCGTCCTACACTGCACGGAACAGCCTCACCACAAAGGATCATCTGGCTGTCAGTAGTGCCAACGTGGAGAAGCTCTGCTAGGTTGACAGACATGGCTCATCTTTGTGTGCCAAGTTCTTAATAAATGGTGGCAGTCAGAGGGAACTCTGAAACGTTGTGGTCACTCTAATTCATGACACAAAGCAAACTGAGTGACCTCCCGCTCAACTTGACACACCTTTGGTGCTAAAAGTAGAGAATGCCATTTCTCTGTGAGTTTCTGCCCAGCTTGGTTTGGGTAGCCATCAACTGACTGATCATAATGTGACCCATCACCCCGCAGCGGGGGCTTCAGAGGGCTGTAGGGATCGGTGAGAGAGTGATCCCACCCAGACCTTACCTGTTGCACGTGGACCCTTTGCACTTGTCCTTCATCTTGGTGTCACACCTGACAACTTGGGCTAAGAGAGAAATGCAGAAATATATGTCACATTGGGAGGATGTGTCTGAGTTAGAAGACCCCAGCTCCCACTCTGAGGAACTTTCTGGAATCTATGCCATCATGAGAGCCGGAGCATTGCCCAACGGCTGCAGGCTTCAGGGGTGAGGTTCGAATCCCAGATCCATTTTACACATTGTGACCTTGGACACATTACTTCCCCTCTCTGAGGTTCAATTTCTGCATGTAAGTAATGGAGATAAATATAGTGGATACTGTTCGTGTGTGCATTAAATGAGAAAGCATGTGTAGCCTTCGAAGAGAGCCTGGCACACACGAAGTGCCTTGTAGCCCCTCAGCGTTCTGGACGATGGGACTTTCAAGTTATTCAGCCTACGATGCAGGGAGCCAGCCGCTCCCACCTGTGTCATCTCCCTCCAGACAAGATGACTTTACCAAGCTTTCCTTGTTGTTTATTTTATAGGGACAGGTCAGAACCTTGGAGTAGAGTAATAGCTGGACAAAAGGATATATATTATTTTGTAAATTTACATTATTTAAAAAGAAACACAATGGAACCATTTTGAACTTTTGGGCGGACAAGAGCATCAGCATATTTCCTGGTCAAAGAAGCTACAGGGTGGTTCAACAGGCAGAAAGTCTGGGGAAGTGACACTTGAAGGCCCAGGAGGACAGAGAGGCTGACTGGTGGGGGCAGGGGAGAGAACAGTTGAAAAATAGGAGAGGCTTTCTGAGAAAGATGGGCACGAGGCGGGCCCTACTCAGGGGTAAGTCTAGTTTCATGCCATTTGAGGCTTAAAACCAGAGGAATCAGAGAGAACTACAGGCAGATAGTCCGTGCCTGTTGCTGTGTCTTAAGAAAGTGCCCCTCCAGAGCCCCAAACCTTCAGTAAAGGCGCCACCTACACAGGTGCCCAACAGCAGTGCTGGGGGAGGTTGGAATGCTGAGTTCTAGCCCAGGCAAGACAGTCCAGAGAGAAGAAACACCTTGAGAGGTGAGGTGCACTGGAAACCAGGGGAGGGGAAGGCGTGACAGAGGTGAGCGTCAGAGCATTCTGGGGACTTCCAGAAGTCTTGGGGGAAACCTTCAACTTTCCACCCAAGGGAAGTGTTGGAGGCAACTTGATGATCTCAAAGTACAGGGAGGTTTCCATTGACACTGGGGACCTGCATTACTGCAAATAATCATCACAGCAACTCATATGGGCGTTACTGCCCCATTGTATGGATATGCAAATCAAGTCTCAGAGTCATGCGGAGGCCCGAGTCACAGAGCCAGCACCTGGTGGAGAAGAACCGGAGCCCGCCAGAGCTGGCCTCCCCACTACAGGCTCTGCGCTCTCCCTTAGGGGAGACCAGTGCTTCCAAGACGGACCCAATTACAATTGGGTTTCAGGTCCCTTGAAAGGACAAGGTCTAACCTTAAAATACTTGCCTGGGGGGGAAAGGGACACTCAAGCAGCTCCTATACAGCTCACTTTTGAGATAACTTAAAAATATCATTTTTTTTTAGGAACATCTTAGGGTTGTGCTTTTGCAAGCTGCTCCCCACCGTGCTCCTCTACCCACCCCTAAATAAAGCTGCCCCCTTTTAGAGGCGGCTTGCAAGGTGACAGAGGGCGGAGAGGGAGTTCGACTCACTCATGTACTTCACAGCGGACGTTTTCTTGGGCTTGACAGGTTTGATCACCCTCGGCTGGACCCAGACGTGTTTTTCTTCAGGAACGGGAGCTGTCTCCACCTCATTCATCTCGTCCGTTTCAGGTTTTTGGTTATAAGTCTCTTCTTCATAGTGGAGATGGAGGGAAAAAAAGAAATACCGGGATTCAACGAAAATGCACTTCGGAAAAAAAAAATTGGAAACTAAACTTGTTTGAGGTTTAGTTGGGCAAAGAGTCATTTCAGTGGCAAAGAGAAAGTTACATTTCAGAACACACCTGGCCAGGTGGAATTCTACCAGCCAAGATGAGATGGGTAGGCTCTGCTCACTCTGTGTGTTTTGGATCTAAGAGCTGCTGGGCGGGCCAGAGGTGAGAAGGCCCACACCTGGATTATCACAATGGTTTCTTGTCCCACCTCCTCCTGCACCGTCATTTGCCCAAGGAAGCATATCCTCTGACCCCAAGCTGTGGCTGCCTCCCCCGAGGTCCCTCTGGCCCTAGGTTTCCACGGGGAGAGGGGTCTTCCTCACTTACAAGCACACCATGGTGCATGAAGACCCACATCAATGGTCTTGCGCCCCACGGCCCTCCACCACGGCCCCTCCCGTCCCCTTCTTCACCCTCTTGGATTAAAGGTCATTAACCAAACCCAAAGCCTTTTGGTGGCCAGTAACAATTGATTCCTCAACAAAGAATAAGCCAGGGACCAACTCCTGGTTTAAAAAAAAAAATTAGTTTGTCGGGTCCCAATCTTTTCCCTACCCAAATATTATTTCTCCAACCATGATCATGACCCACATGTTTTAAGACATTTTAATTAACCGAGCAAATTGCATTTATTATAAGCATCAGTTTATTTATCTTCCAGTTTTCATCACGAAAGACAACTGTTCACTGCTGACCAGAATCTGTCATCAGGCTACCAGAACACCAAACTGCAAATTTCAGCCAAAGCAAAGCAAAGAATTGCTATGTTTGTTTGCATGAATGGGCTTCTCAAAGATGAACTGATACACATCTCTGCCAGAGGACCACTTTGCACCTTTATAACTTGCACCTCCATCGCCCTCGGGTATCTGTGGGCCAGAGTGGCAAGCCCCTTCCTTCTGAGCTCCCCCAATGAAAGAGATGATAGATGTGTTTGGGTAAGGACGATTTCAAAGGGGAAGAATGAAGAAGCACCCTCACAGGCCTCTTTGTGTCACTGGATTAAAGTTCAAGTCCCATCAAGTGATCAAGTGCTCATCAGTCCCCCAGCCTTATTGCCACTTCTCCTTAAGAGCAATGACCTCTCTCCGCCAAAGGGTAGACCAAGTGCCTCGTGTCTATACAAGACAAACATTCAAACGAAGGGCAGATGAGTGGTTCGCTGATGCTTTACGGGGCTAGAGTATCCTGCATCTATTTTCACCGGCCAGTTATCTACCGCACAACCCCTACCCCAGGTGAACCCATTCCAAAGAGGAGAATGGTCGGGATATACGCCAGGAGGTGAACTGCAACCTTGAGTCTCAAGTCCGTTCTCTCAGAGCTCATGGACCACCAGAGCTGCTCCTGGGCAGCTAGCTCAGAGCTGTGATTTCAGATGCCTTTTCCGCCCACTGGAAACACCCTGAGGCCAGGAACCAGCCTGTTTCACAGCCTACTGGACACCCAGCTCCCAGCACATAGTAGCTGCTCAACAAAATTCGCTGAATGAAAGATAATCAAAACCCCCAAAGAATCCTGTCTTTGAATTCTTTTGAAAACAAAAAAATATATTCCCAGTGAAGTTTAAAGACATTCAGGAAGGGAATTCTGAAAGCATCACTTGTAGCCAAAAACTATTAGGTGAGATCTTTATGAAGACACCAGGTTTGCGATGCCATTTGGCACCATCGGCCGCCCCTGGTCTGCTTTCCCGGCAATGTGGCTACTCAGGTTTGCCCTTCACTGAAAGCCAGAGCTGTCTCTGGAATAAGCTGGGTTTTCTTCCACTGGCCTTTAGGATTTTTATACCTCATACTCGTGGCTTTATTTAGCCAAATATAGTTTGGTAAGGCAGTCTAAAGCATTTGAGGGCTCACTATTTAAGAAAATGGGCAGACAGTCCTCGCCCTCAGACACACACATGAAAAGTGGAATGCTTGCCCAGAGGACCGGCTGTATTTGAGCACATCCTAATTAAGCTCCCCTGTGTGGACCGGCACAGGCCTGGGGAAATTCCATGCCTGAGTTCACGGCAAGGGTACTGTACGCACTGTCCAGCTCCGGACCAGGGGTCTCGGGGCACACAGCATTGCTTACATCATTCTGCAGATCCACACCTGGTTCTATAAGTGCTGACAAAGCTCACTGCTAATGGTTACTGATTGTGGACCAAATGACTGCCCACCACCCGGTCCTTCCCCGGCATGTTCTCATGACATCCTCTCATTGCCCTAGCAAGCATGATAAGTCCCATTTCACAGACAGGGAAACCAAGGCTCAGAGAGGCTAAGCGACCTACCCAACCTCACACAGCAGAGAGTCAAACCACCTTTACCGGAAGCCCACACCCTTTATCGCCACACCTGGCAAGGCTGGAGGGACGGAAACCTCTCTTACGGTCTATCCTTATCCCTGCTCCATCTCCATTATAGGTCAAGGCCCTGCCAGGCAACCTCAATAAACACTGATTAAGAAGATTATGCAGATAAACCACTTGACAGGAGACTTTCTTTCTGCATGGTTAGCTAAGAAAATCAGGAAGCCTGCCAATTGGAGTTGGATATTTTCCACCAAAAATAAAGAAACAAGTACGGAGGCTTCCTTGGGTGGGCAAACTGGCATCTAAAGTCTCTTTGTGTGTATTTGGTCTTAAAAAATGAGCCTCTGGGTTTTGGGGGGTATGTGTATGTGGACAACATGCAGAACACACTTGCTCCATGGCCCTGGAGGCCCTGGAGAGAACCAGCAGTTGTAACTACAGGTGGTCAAGGTTCAAGGAGAGTGTGGGCGCAGTAAGAACAGGAAAGCAGGTGCATCGCCTGTGTGTGTAGTCAGGGAAGACTCCCTGGGGCCGGCCGGGTGGCTCAGTTGGCTAGAGCGTGTGCTCTGAGCAACAGGGTTGCCAGTTCGATTCCCACATGGGCCAGTGAGCTGCACCCCCCCACACACACACTAGATTGAACATGGCACCTTGAGCTGAGCTGCCGGTGGGGGGGCGGATGGCTCAGTTGGTTATAGCAGGTGCTCTTAGCAGCAGGGTTGCCAGTTCGACTCCCGTATAGGATGGTGGGCTGTGCCCCCGCCCTGCAACTATTGGGTTGTTGGAAAAGTCATGACGTATATTTTCTATGTTTTTCATTGCAAAAATGTGTCACGACTTTTCTGACAACTCAATAGACTGAAAACAGCGACTGGACTTGGAGCTGAACTGCGCCCTACACAACTAGATTGAAACAACTACGTGACTTGCAGCTGATTGGTCCTGGAAAAAACATATTGCTCCCCAATAAAGTAAAAAAAAAAAGGAGACGCCCTGGAGGAGGTGTGACACCAGAGCTGTGTTTCCAAGAAGGCATCCCCTAAGCGATGGATAAGACACTCAGGCTGGGAGGGGGCCAACATTCCCACCAGGAGATAAAGGACCTCATGCAGGCACCCATACCTTCCACTCCTCCAAGGAGCTAACCAGCTGTATTCATAAAGCACTGACTATGTGCGAGTTGTTGTGCTAGCAACTCACATCCTTCTCACTGCATCCTCCCACCAAACTCCTGTGGATGGGACTATGTTATTACTGCTACAGATGGGGAAACTGAGGCTCAAAGAAGGCATGCAGTATGTCCGAGTACACAGCCAGTAATGGGAGGGATGGCCCTACTCCGTCTGCCTGTAATCTGGACAGCTCAGGCCCATGCACACACAGAAACCCCTCCCAATGGGAGACAGAGGGGGAACCCCAAGGGGCATCTTTCCCTCATGGTCCCCAAATCTAATGGGGACTTGACCCCTCTGGATGACTGGACAGCAGCCACAGGACCTACCTGAATAGGAATGTGGGGATGGAACCTGACATGCCTGAATGTAGACGTCAACCTGCATTCTTTTCTTAGTCCCCACCACACTCCCAGAGGTTGACACAATGACCCTATTTTTAGACGTTAAGACTGAGGCTCAGAGAGATGAAGTGACCTGCCAGGGTCCCACCACTGAAATATGGCAGGGTTAATATTCTTAAAGCAGGTGTACTGGCCTCTAAAACCCACGCTTGTCTCACAGATCCAGGAATCAGAAGGGGGCTGTCAGGGAACGGCTCACTAAAGATGGGATGTGGAGCCCATCCACAAGACAGTGAGGAGCTGTGTCCTGAGAGGAAATGGGGAAGTGGGAGAAATTCCATTTAACAAACATTCACAGAGGCCCTACTGCATGGCAGGCACCACTGGGATCTGCACATCTGTGAAGGGTTTTCAGTCTTCCTCTCAGGACCATGCTGCCTCATGCCGCCAGGCCTTTGCACATGCTGTTCCCCCTTCCAGAAACACCTTTCCCTTCTCTCATTACTAGGCTTTGTCTTCCTGCTTAAGGGCACCTGCTCGGGGAAGGACTCCCTAACCCTGCTAAGCTCTGCAGCATCAGTAACTGCCCTTGAAAGACGTGCATCACGCCTTGTGTCCATAACCCTGCTGGACCTCAGTTTCATGAGGGCATCTCCAAAATTGTATGGTCCCTCTAGTTATCCCCATTGATATTAGCCAGCAACGTCCAGGCACACAGCAGGCACGCATTCCCAGCAGATGCATGGACTCTCTTAGCGCCTGAGGTACGTTATGCAAGACTGGTGTTATCACACTGGGTTTTGCTGATGGGTAGAGTGATCGAGTGGTTTGAGCGCCAGCCTCAAAACCTGGTTTGCCAGATGTCCGCATCTTCTCTTCGCCTGCCCCCTCCCTGCCTTCCACAACGGGCAGAATCAGCGGTGAACAACTGGCCAGGACAAGAGAGCACCCAGGCCCCTAAGAGGGCCTGGGACCCCCGGCTTAGCCCAACTGGTTCTTCCCCACAGAGCCCACGGGATTGACCCTGTGTCCCCTCCGGCCGGGAAGGCCTGACGCAGAGGGTTGTTCTCTCTTATGCGCCCAGCCCTCTGAGCCATCACAAAGCCTGCGCACGGGGCCATGTGAAAAAAACCCATCTTAACCACAAAAACATGGTCATCCCCTTTGGCCCGGCGATGCCCCTTCTGGGACGAAGCCCGAAACGTGAGAAAGGCTTTAGGCACAAAAAACGTGTGCTATTTATAGTAGCAGGATGAGTGGAAACCTTCTCGAGTGGCGACAACAGGCAAACGGTGGAAGAGCTGGAAGTGACACAGCCTTTGAAAACGTCAGTTTTGCCTGAGACGTGGGAGGAAGGACAACGTAAACGTTTATGACAAATTAGGTGAAGGACGGGCAAGATGGGAATGTGGGTGGGTGGTGGTGGGGGGACAAGGATGTGAAGGACAACCCCGTGGAGGGACACCCCTGCACAGTGTGGAGCTCGCCGTCTGGTCGTTTGTTTTGAATTCTTTGTTCGTTGTCTGTTTTATACCAAACTACGAGCACGAACAAACAAGGGCAGGAACATGTCTGTGTGGGTGCTGCGTTCGGAGTCTGGCTACGGCACGTGCTCCCCGGGGGGGACACCCCAGGGCAGTCCTGGGCCCCCAGGGAGCTGGGGACTGAACCCCAAATCTTCACGTGTGCAAGGCAGAGGGAGGGAGGGGAGGACGAGGGGAGCACTGAGAGCAACTGACACGTGGTGGCCAAGGAGGGGGTGGCGCTTTGGACTCTTATTGTTCACTTTTCCCGTTTTACGTAAGCTGTTCTGTGAATCATGGTTTTAAGGTCATTTCCTACCTCGGTAACACAAGTTGTTCTTGCAGCTGCCTCCGTAGCTGGGCGGGCACTCGGAGCAGGGCCGGCCAGTTCTGTACGGGGCCTCTCCAATCCAGTTCCCCCTGAGGACAGACAGAAACACCGTCAAGAGGGACCACAGACAGCTTCTCTCTCCTTTCCTGGGCCCAGTCTAGGGGCGGGGAAAACACTCGGGGAGGGAGGAAGCTGTGTGCCATGTAAAGGGAAAAAGGAGCTGCTCCGGGTCTCTCCTGTGCAGAGTCTCGCCCAGTCCAGAGCTATGGCACCTCGCGTGACTGTGTGTGCCGACACCACACTCGCTCCATATCTACCCCTGGTGCTTCCCTTACACAGCTCTGAACACTGTCAGCCCCCCATCCAGCCTGAGTGCCTTTGCCCTGGAAAGCAGCCAGGAGCCCCCTCATAAGCCATTTCTCAAACGAGTAAAAGTCAGGTGTTCAGGGAGTAGCTTGCATTTCCCGAGCTCTAACCACATACTAACCCAGGTCATGTCATCCTTCCAGCACCCCAGGAGGGATGTGCCGGAATTCAATACTTTTGCACAGGAGGAAACTGAGACTCAGAGAGGTTCGGCGACTTGCCTGAGGTCACATAGCGAGATCTGAACTCGGGCTATGGGGCTCAGAGTCTCTGATCACGCTCTGCTCTCAGAGCTGGGACTAAGGTCTCTCTGAGCACCCCGGGCACTGCCCACCTCCCTCTGAAATTCCCAGGGCAGGAAAACTGGAGGCCACTTGGTAGGGTTCCTCCAGGAGCCAGGTAGCAGGTGGCGAGTGGAATTCCCAAGCCCGTCTCACAGTGTGTGGGTCTTTGGCAACACAAACTGGAGGCGTGAAGGACTGGGGACCAGTCTCTGGGATTTGCTCTAGAAGCTTCCTTTGTCGCAGCCCAGTTATCCATTTGTTCACCCAGGAGAGGGATTCAGGCCCGCTGCTAGGCCACGCTTGGCCCCTGCCTCCTCCAGCCAGGCAGTGAAGAACAGATGTCCTGGGTTGGACCCTGGCCCTGCCAGCTGTGTGATCCCCAACTTTCCCCGGCCCTGAGCCCATCTCCTTCTCTGCAATGGGGGTAACAGCAGGAGGCTGTCGTGAGGATGAAGCAAGTGACTGTGTGGACACCCTCAGACTAGGGCCCGGCTCAAGGTGAAGGCCACAAGCTCTGTGAGTGTTTCCTAAACCAACAAGCGCGTCTGGGTGATGTTTCTGACGGCTTTCCAGAGAGGCCAGGGAGGGGCCCTGCTAGTGTTGGCTGGAAGACAAACTGCAGAAAACACGTTCTCTGTTTAACCTCCGACGGCTCAAAATAGTGGGATGGCATCACCCAGGGCCATGCGGGCATCAGGATTGGGGATGGAGGGCAGGGGGCCCGTGACAATACGCTCACCTCTTCAGCCCCCCTACATCACAGCTGGCAAATGACAGTGTCCTACACCAGGCCACAGACCCCACTCAGCTGACCACCTCTGCTTGGATATGCAGGCCAGCAAGGGACTCACGGGAGCCTTAGGGATGACTCCCCCAAATGGACCATTGTCAGGCAGAACAGGAGGGCCTCAGAGCCTGTCCTGTCACTGGGCAAGGCTCAGTAGGTTTCTTCAGATTATCTGGGCCCCCAGATGGGTTCATCCCTCTCCCCCAGCTGAGACCACCAGCCGATCTAGGGTTCCATATTTCCTCAAAGAGAAACCATACCTCTGATGCTCCAAGGGTAATAACACTCAGGTTGGTGGTTATGGAGAGCTGGCTGAGCGCCAGGCTCTGCACCAACATCCTGTAGATGGACAATCTCCTACTCTCCCAATAGTCCTGTGCTCCCCTCATGCACAAGGCCATCAATGTACAAGATCCCCTGCCCAAAGGGATCTGAGCCCAGACATCACTCCTGGGCCCACATTCTCAAGGTCAGGGGCTTAGACTCTTGAAGAGGAGGCTGTGGACACTGGAATACCAGGCAGCAATCTAAAAGGAAGGCCCACTGAACACACAACACTATGGATGAATCTCACAGACACAGTGTTGGGAGGAAGAGGCTAGGTACAGGAGGGGATGTCTATCAGGTCCATTCATATGAGTGTCCAAACCACACAGACTGGCCGATGGGGAGAGATGTCAGAATGGTGGCCACTCTGGGGAGGGGAGAGCATCTTGGGGCACTGGAAATATTCTCTGTCTTGACCTGGGTGGTAGTTACATGGATATGTATGTACTGTGTGGACTGAATTGTGTGTGTCCCCCCAAATTCATATGCTGAAGCCCTAAGCCCCCGTGTGGTTGTATGTGGAGATGGGACCTCAAAGGATGTAATTAAGGTTAAATGAGGTCATAAGGGTGGGACCCTGGATGGGATTAGTGTCCTTCTAAGAAGAGATACTAGGAAATGCCATGTAAGGACATCAGGAAAAGGCAGCCGTCTACAAGGCAGGAAGAGAGTCCTCACCAGAAACTGACCTTGACCTGGGATTTCCAGCCTCCAGAACTGTAAAAAATAAATGTCTGTTGCTTAAGTGCCTAGCTTCTGGTATTTTGTTATGGCAGCCTGAGCTGACTAATACATGTATATCGTATGCGTGAACATTTATCAAGTTGCACACTTAAGACTAGTGTATTTTACTGTCGTAGTTTATTTCTTTGTCAAGAAAAGGAGTGGGAAGGAGGGGGTAAAGAAAGAAAGAATTATATTTCTGATAGGGTTCTTTGAGTGTATTTTTTAATATAGAGTCAAATCGAATTATTCTTCACTCCCCACCTGCCACGCTGCCAGGAATTCCACCACCGTGGGCCAGTTTATTGGTCTTCCATGGGCTTGTGTCCCCCACCCTCCACTGATGACATAATCCCCCTGCCCTTATCCCTTGGGCTGTGGAGACACTGCCATCACTGGCAGGCCAGATGATTTGCGGAGATTTTCTATTTTCCTCCTAACCTCAGCGATTCCCTGTTTATCCCACCTTCTCACAGCCATTCCTGACCCAAACCAAATAAATTAGGTCATTCCTGTTTCATTCAGTCACTGAGAAAATAGGCCTCCCGGGCCCACTGTGTGCAGGGCATGGTGCTAGGATGGCCGCCAGCTCAGCAGCCCACGTGCAAACCACAGACCGTGAACTGGGTGAGTAGTTCTCTGAGAATCAGCACATATTTGTCTGATGAGCAATGGAGGTGAATGAGTAAAGGGATAAATCACACACTAGTGACATCAGGATATATAAAGAGAAAGAGGGGTTAGGATATAAAGACTTGATGTGGTCCTTTCTGGGAGGGGAAATCTAAAGATGCAAAAACTAGGTCTAGCCTGAAGACCTGTTTGCTAGGGTGTGATCTGCTACATATTTTTCAGAGAAAAGAATAAGAGTAATATCGCTATGGCAGGCCCAACGTGTTGCTCAGCCAGAAGCTATTCCTGTTTCTGACTTGTTTAGGTGGTCCCCAGAGGAGACGTGCAGAGTTGATTGGGGCAATTTCATTGGTTGAAACCAATTAGGGCAAGCTAATTGGTCAAAGCCAATGGGGGCAATCTTGTTCCCCCTTGTCTGAGAGTGGTCTAGTTCTGGCCAATGACATAAGGAGAAAGTGGGTGAGAAAGACCTAATAAGACAGCCCTAGTCTACGGCTCTCCTCCCTTCTGCTTGGGAAGACATGATGCCTGGTGCTTTGCAGCCATCTTGGGTCCATGAGGAGAGGATAACACAGCAGGAAGACAGGAGCCTGAGTCCTGGTTGACACTGCTGAGCTGTTAAGCTAAACCCTCTTCTTGAATATGGTGTCCACAACCTCTAAACACCTTGTTATGTGAAATAATTAAGAGATGCCACTGTTTAAGCTAGTTTTAGTCGAGTCCTGCACAGTAGGCAAACGCATCCCAACCCATACAACCATGTCAAGCTGTTCTTACTTTGGAGAGTAATTGCAGACGAGGTAGACCGCATTCTCCCAAACATCTCCCCAGACGTTCATCCTCCGGCAGGTGTTCACGGCACAGCCCACCTTGTTGGTGGTGGCCCAGACTATCTGAAATGATGACATCCATGCGTCAGAATCTGAGGGGAAGGCACACCAGGATGGCATAATCTGGCCTGGATCTACAGGGTGCTGGTGCTTAACGGGGTGAAAGGGTGAAGGCCCAGATGTTTCCCGTAATCCACTGAAGATGGATACATTCGCTTAAAAATAAACAAAGGCCAAACAAACGAACCACATACGGGGAAAATGCCCCAGTGTGTAAAGGTGCCCTAGACATTTCTGGTGCTTGCTGTCAGTTTCTGTACTTGTGAACTGATCACACACTGTTCAGCACCCCAGCTACACTTTGAGTAGTGCTGAATTAAAGAAAAAAAAAATAATAACAAGGCAATGACAGCAGAGGTTTTCTAGGTGGGCAGCCATCCTGCAGGGCCAGGTGAGTGACTGGGCTTTGGGGAGCTGGGCTGAGGTCGCGGCCTGTTCCTCCCGTGTTACCTGTGTGTAGTGGGTGCACATGGCCCCAGAGCACCTCTCTGGACACCAGGGGTTGCACTCGTGGGGGTAGGGGTAGGTGTAGTCCTTCACCTCGTCATACCAGGACTGCACGTGGAAGCCAGGGGAGCGGTACCTGCAGGGAGAGACCAGCTTTTACATCCCGGCCACCGCACGCCCAGGGACGGAGACTGCAGCTGGCGGCACCGCCACCCAGGGGGGCAGGCTGAAGGAGGAGCTCCTTCAGGGCCAACAGCCCCACATCCCACCCAGCACCTGCTAAAATTCCTTAAAACCTAAACCGGCGAGGAGCTCACCTGGAGACCCTCTGGATTTCAGGAGTGTCCCTCAGGCGGCCCGCATGCCGCCTGTGTGTGCAGGAAACTTGTACTTGGCCCCCTGAGTGAGTCACTATTTATGTTAACAATTATGTATTTAGTTTCATGTATATTTGGGAAAATATATGCAGCCCATGAACCCCATATTTCTCAGATATTACTGCTTAAGATAAAACTTGATGTAAGACATGAATCCATTTAAAGTCAATGTGGAGAAAAATGTTGAGGAATGTACTATTAAACAGGTAATGCACAGATGGGTTACCTACCATGGTGGGGGGAGGGGTCTGGAATGTGGGAAGTATCTGGCTATGGGGGACCAGGCAGAGAGGCCCCCATTACGTGCCAATGGATTGATCCTCATGACCGGCTTTGTTCCTCAGCTGCCGGAGGCCCCAAGGACCCCAATACAAGGCAGAAAACTCATTCAGGGCACAGAATCCTGCAGGTATGCAGTCAGGTATGCAAATCCTTTTGAAAACTTCCTGTTCAGGCTTTCTTACTGAGTCTTTCTTGCCTCAGCAAGCAGGGCCTGAGGTCAGCATCGTTGGTGGCCACTGCCCCTTGCTTCAGCACCGTACACCAGGCTGGCACTGGTTATTTTTCACCAGGAAAGAAAATAAACTGGATGGAAATCCCAGGTTGCCATCACCAGCAAGTATAAACAAAGCGGTTTCAATAAAGAGAAAGGAGGCTAGGGGGACTGGCCATTTCTGGTGAGATGCACAGTTAGAGGTCAATTACTGGCGCTGAGCCTCGATTTCCCCATATGTAAATGACATGGGGGGTTTCTCTCTCTTAGCAGGTGACTGTGAGGGCTAAATGCGATAATGGACAGCAAGCACCAGGATTATGTCATCCTGGTGACACAACAACTTGCCCAGCCTGGCACACAGTAGGTGCTCAGCAGTGGCTGGTTCACAGGTAAAGGGGTGATCACAGCGGCTCTTACCTGCCCCAGTGGACGGCCAGGTTCTGCCCAATGGACACCAGCAGACTGGTGGGCCCGTGCTCCCAGATGCACTCGTGGGCCCATGCCGCTGCCGACTTTGCCAGCTCTTCATCCCAGGTCTGCAGAAGGAGGAGAAATGAGCATCTTCAGAGTCAGGGATGGGTGTCGGAACCAGAAGTACTGTGCCACCCCCAGCTGAGGCTCCAGGTAAACCCGCTGGACAGTTTCAGCTTCTGTAACACGGCTCCGTGCACAGCTCAGCTGGGCTCCTAACTCAGCCAGTGAGAAGTGGCAGGTTGGCAAAGAACTCAGAGGAGCCTAGATCCAAAGCTGTCCTCACAGCTCCTGCTCTGCCTCTAACTGGCCAGTGACCTTGGGTCAGTCCCTTCTCTTCTCAGCCTCAGTCTCCTCATCTGTGAAATGGGAAAATGAGTAAATCCTGGAGATGATGGATGATGGTGAGGGCTGCACAACAGCGTGAATGTACTTAATGCCACTGAGCGGTCCACTTAAAAATGGTTAAGATGGTAAATTTTATGTTATGTATATTTTACCGTTATTAAAAGAAAAGTAGCAAGAAATGCCTTTGACTTGCCCAGTGCTGCTCCACCTCCAGCATGGCCCACCCTGAATCAGTGGGGGCTTGGGCAGGGGTCTGGGCCAAAGAATCTAAAGACAGGCTCTACAGCTAGTCCTGCCTCCCAGCTGGCCCAGGGAACAAATATAACTTCTCAGGAAAGAACACGGCAAACTAAGCAAGTGGGGTCATGTCTCTTCTGCGGAGGAACAGACACGCCAGGCGGCCCTCGTGGCTGACTGCAAGCCAGCTGCTGCAGCGCCTGCTCCCAGAGTCACTGGGCAGATGCTCCAGCTCATGGGCAGGCAGGGGCTGCCCCCTGCTCTGGGGAGCCCCAGCTCCTGGCACACAGTAGGTGTTCATGGAAAGACAGTCCAGGAAGAGCTCTGGGACTTTAACCAGTTGTGGGACCCCAGTATGGAGTGTCATGAAGCTACACGCTTCCCTCTCCTGCTGGCCTGCAGTCTCCTTCCTGCCAAGATAACATCCGCGGGCAGGTCCTGCCCTAGGGCAGATACCTCTGGGGATCTGGGTCACAACCCTGATCCACATCCTATGCCAGCTGCAGTGGACATTCCAGGTACACTCAGACTCATGTCTCACTGACAGCACCCCAGCTCCAGTGCTGACCACAGCCTGCGCCGCTTCTGCCTGAGGTCTTTCTCCAATGTCCAAGCAAAGCCTGACATGGGGGGTTAACAACACTCCCAGGGGCCACCCTCAGCCAATGGGGGACAGACCTGTGAATAAATGCACCTGCCTCCCACCTTCAGGAGGGCAAGTCGCCTGCTGCTGCCTTTACTCAGTAGATCCCGGGAGATCCCGTTCCCCCCAGGAGACCCCCAGGGTGCACCCTGAAGTTGGACTTCCTCCTTCCTGTCTTCTGGACTCATGGATCACCCCCCAAATAGACCACCTGCCCCAAGTCGGTGCATTCCTCTCCAAGCAAGGGAGAGAGAGGTGGGCAGTGGGGTCGGGGGCAGCTTGCACATGCACCAAGATGCCTCTGGAAGTGGCCAGCTGAGGCCTTTCCCAGCATCCGAGGAGGCAGGGCAGAGATGGGGCAGGTGCCGATGGCTCCTCAGAAGCTCACTATTTATTCTGTGCTGTGCTTCAAGAGCAGTGCGAACCTTCTTGCCGCTGGTCTGAGTCCATAACATTTCCTACGGCTCAGAGGGGAGGGGCGCGGGGAGGGCGAAGGTCGAGTTAGGGAAAGACAGACACGCCCAGCAGGGTCTCTGGGGGTTCAAGGCTTTTGGAATTATGGCTGGAGGTGTGCAGACTTGACGTCTAGTCTGCAACAGGACATAGCTAAGCTAGAACCCGCTCTCCCCTCCCTCCATTCGAGGCTGAGCATTCCCAGCTTGGCCCACCCTCGCCTCCCACCCTCCTCTCGGCTCCAGCCGTGCTCGCCACATAATAGGACCTCAAAACAAGGTTTCCACACAAAGGGCTACAGGGCTGGCTGTGTGGTGAGCTGTTTACAGCCGACACACACTCTGTTGATCAGAGTCCTTCCCACGGCAGTGTTACATGTCTTGACTGCCATCCAGAATAACGAGTGCACGCATGAGTGAATGTATGCAGGATGCAGCCCAGTGCCTCGGCTCACGCTCGCCCTCACTGACCTGCCCCAGTCCCCACCTGCCCCTTCACCTCCTGCTCAGCCTGTGCTTTCCAGCTAGTCCATGTCCCTCTGAAGGAGAGGCACAGGTGACATTCTTTACCCCTCAAAGGGATGACTAGAGAGAGGAGAAGGGAAAGCGCAGGGCAGTGAGGTGCAGTGGTGAGGGCATTTGTGTTAGGTGGACCTGGGTAGGATACTAGGTTCTGCCCCTTGCTGGCTGTGTGACTTTGGGCAAGTGGCTTCACCTCTCTGTGCCTCTGTGACCCTATTTCTAAATGAGCTAATGGTGTCTGCTGGAATAGGTTCTGGGGAAAAGCTGAATGAAAGCAGGCATCACGCCTCCAGGTGAGGTGCAAAGTAGCCCTCAGTAAACAGTACCAATATTAACTTTCTCAAGCACGTATTACATGTCAGGGGCAGTGCTGGGCCTGTACCTCTGGAGCGCCATCATCTGAACATCTGCCGCTTACCAGAGAACTTTAGCACCATTTTTTAAAATTTAGTTCCCACAACAAGCCCTTGAGGTATGTTTCATTTTTCCATTGTTGCAGACAAAAAAAAAAAAAAGTGAGGCTAAGAGAGGTTAAGTAACTTGTCTAAGATCACACAGCCAAAAAATTAGAACTTTAACAACCCAGCCCTATCTGGCTTCCAAGGGTGTCATCCTGTCTGCATGCTGTCACCAAATGCTGGTCTCACTCCACTAAAATAATAATAACAACAGTATAGTTAACATTTATTTAGTACTTATCATGCATTATCTCATTGGCTTCTCCAAATAACCCTATGAGAAAGGTGCTTTTATTGTCACCATTGTGCCAATGAGGAAACATAAACACAGAGAGGCTAATTAATCTGCCCGAAGTCACACAGCTAAAAGTGGCAGCTACCTAAACCCAGGTAGGCTGGCTCCAGGGCCTGTCCACTTATAAACCCTCAAAATGGGGTATCTTAACTCTTCGGAGTTTTAAAATGCACCCTTCAGTGCTGAGGCTATTTCAAAGGACTGTGGCTCGAAGCCCCAGCAGGCAGGGCTGAGTAGGAAGCTACCTTTTCAAGATACTCTCCTACCAATGCCATTTGTTTGGGTGGAAACGGAGCAGATGGGCAGCACTGGGCCTCAGCTGCTGGGGTGGAGGGGCTGGGCCCTGATCGCCTTCCCTGCTCCATGGCCCCTGCCGGGAGGTGGCCCCTGAAGGCTCCGTTTCCCTGACAGGCAGGCTATTTAGACCTAAGGACCCAGATCTCAACTCTAATCCTGAAATATCATGAAGCAAAAACAAAGAGGAACACATGGCAAGCTCGTTACGGGCCGTCCAGGCAGCCTGACCTTGCCTGCTGCATACTAAGCTCCTTTCACTTACCCTGAATCTTCCATACAAACACTAGACAAGCACAGTGCTGCCAGGAAAAGACCAGCAGAAACCCAGCCTGTTCCAACGGAGGCAGGAGGCAGTTGGGATCCTGGGGGGTTGTGGTTCAGTAAACTTCAGGCCAAGAAAAATACCGGCTCCCTTGTGGGAACCACGCAGGCCCTTGGGGTGGGAAGGGCTCAGGGCGACCTGTCCAGAGAGAGGTGCAGAGCGAGCGTCCTTTCCCCAAGGGGACGAATGACCTGGTCCTGAGAAGGGTGGGGGCGGACGCCACACCTCAAGCCCCGAAGAAATCTACCCTCATTTCCTACATCGTTAACTCTACAAAGGTCTGCACAAGCTGCCCTATGCATTTTGAAAGGGTGCCCACTCTTCCTCCTAAAATTAGCACAGCCCCTTTGGAATAAATGCCCAGATGATTTTCTTGAGGGGGAAGAAAGAGATGTTTCATAATGAGTTCCCAACGGACAGCCTTGCTCACGGGGCTCTGTCCAGACGGGCAACCCATTCACCTGTCCTACAGCTGGTGACGGGCCACCTCGTGCGGGCACAGAGAGGGACAGGGAGGGGCTTGCAGGCATGCGGGATGGTCCCTGACCATGATGAGCCCTACCAATGCCAGGGCACAAGGCAACATGACAAGTGACAGCTGAGTCTAGAGGAGTGTGGCCAGTGGTGAGGGCTACAAAGAGGCTGGATGAGGCGTGAAGACGAGAAAGTGCTCCCGGGGAGGGAGGTACGGTGGCTGCCACACACACAGCATCTTCAGAGGACGCCCAGCAGACGTCTCTGGCTGAAGGGGAGGGAAGGAAGCAAATCATCAGGACAAACAGCGATCCGGAGAGACAAGAAGATGTGGGCTCCATCCTGGGCTCAGAGGCCCTTAGAGGCTCCTGAGCTGGAGAAAGGCTGGAAAAAAGTGCTGATTTAGGAAGCACAACGTGATGGCAGGATTCAGAATGGGCTGGAAGAGGGCAAGACGGGAGGTGAAACCCGCCCAGGGCAGAGACGGTTCTACTGATCAAGGTGAGAGTGGAACAGGATGGAAGACAAGGCGGAAGAGGCTGGAGAAAGCGTCAGGGGCTGGGGGCGGGGGCTGTTGAACCAGAGGACTGATGCTGACTGAAAGCACGGGTCCTGGAGTCAGCTGGACTCAGGCTCGAATCTGCCTCTGCCACTACCATCTGTGTGACCTTGGGCCTCCGTTTCCTAATCTATAAAATGGGACAAATAACTGCACCTACTTCCTAGGGCTGGGGGGAGTGCAAAATGGTCCAGACAGGAATGGAGACGCGGGAGTGAAGGCAGGGCAGGGGGTCTGGATGTGGGAGAGCTGGTCACCCCTTCTGATCCTAGGTGTGGGATTTCTCCAGAGGGGGAGCCCACCCCCCACCCCCCCAACACTATCCCTTCTCTCCCTTTCCCTTTCAACAGACACCTCATCTCACAGACTCAGCCATGCTCGCTTCGCAGACAGAGAAGGTGCATCTAAAGAGCTGGCTGAAGACCAAGCTGGCACCATATCAACAATAACACCATAGCCCCATGCGTGAGGTCTGTGCTCGTTTGTCACAGCGGCCATGAGAAGATGGGATCCTCAACGTGCAAGCTGAGGCTCAGGCTGGCTGATGTCCAGGGCACACGGCTAGGAGGTGGCAGAGCTGGGACTGAAGCCGCCAGCGCCCAGCTCTGAGACGGTCTCCACTCCACCTTCCGGGGGGCTTGGTGGGCAGAGTCAGGGCAGGTACATGGGCTGAGCTCCCGAGGGGTGGCACAAGGAGCTGGCAACGAGGCCCTCTGATGAGGAACCCAGGGGTACTGTTTTGGTTGGGGGGGGGCGGTCAAGAACAGAGGAAGGGGACCCTCTGCAGCCTGGGGAACTCAAGCCTGCCACACACGCAGGGGACAAACCAGGCAGTGCCAAGGCCTCCCGACCCCGGGTGGGAATGCCAGCACTCACCATGTACTCCATGTTGGAAGCTGGGGGGTACACCTGGCCCCGCAGTTTATTGTGAAGCATGACAATCTCTTCCTTGTCCGACCTGGGGATGGCCCTCCGGCCCCGGGAGTGGGGCTCGTCCTGCTGGTATTTGCTGAGCAGCCTCTCTAAGTGGGTGACATTGGGCAGGAAAAGGCCTTGGGCTCCGCAGACCAGCAGCACCAGCCCCAAGGGGAGGAGGCTGTTCAGGATGCAGCTCATGGCTTCTCTCCAGCAGCAAGAACCGGGGGGACAGGGCAGCTTAGGCTCCCGAGAAAGAGCTGGGCACTCGAGCACTCTGAAAGCAAGCAGAGGGCAGCGGGAGAAAAAATCGGTCAGTATTCAACCAGCTACGGGGCTGACTTGAGCAGTGAACGGAGAAGGTAGTACTCTCCCCCCCGCTTTGCAGACGTGAAAACCGAGGCTCACGGGAACTAAGTAACCAAGGTCCCATGGACAGGAAGTGGTAGAGCTGGGATTCCAACAAAGGGTTTCCAGCAAGGTAAGCAGCCCGGACTCCATGTAGGACATCCTGGCACAAACTCTCCTGGGCCCAAGTTCTTTTGTCACCACCTTTTCTAATTTCTAGTCAGCATGTCTCCTCATTCCACACTCAGGTGGGTCTATGGCCTGAGTTAAAATTCTGTCTCCTGCTCCCGGAAGAGATTGACAAAGTCACTTCGCGTCACCGAAGGATTTGCTCTGAACCAATGTCAATAGCAAACTCCCTGGTCCCTGTGAAGTAAGACTCAGTTTACCAAAAGCGGTTGACAGGCATCCCCAGACCCCTCATTGTACAAGGCTGCCCTTATCACGGCCTTTCCACCAGCACCACACAGTCACCCAGCCCCAGCCAGGGGCCCAGATGTGTGCTCTGCCGAGAAACAAGCCACCTATCAATTTGATCCTTGGAGGAAGTGACAGAGGAATGCGGGAGGACCTCCCAGGGGGGCCTGTGTGCTCTACTCTCAGCCCCCAAACCTGCCTGGCAAACCCACTAAACAACCAAGCATGTGGCTTCCCTCAGCTGGCTTCTGTCTGACAATGAGCCTGTTAGAGACATGGCTGGGTGTTACCCTTTGGCTGCTAAGTTAGTGATTCCCATGGGTAGTTAATACCCAACAAATGCATCAGGATGGTTCCCTCTTGTTGGTTAACAAAACCAGCAGCAGCGTTGAGGGGACAGGAGAAGATGGGGGCCAGGACTCCTGGACCTTCGTGGCCCCCATCTTGGAGTTGCTCTTCCCAAAGAGAGTTCCTGGAACCTTAACTCTGACACATGCGGGGCTGTGGGGCCACATCAGTTGGGGCTCACTCCTCTCAGAGATTTGTGGTGCCCACTGCAGTAAAGAAAACTCCTTTACTCTTGTTACCTATCAAGGATGTTGATGGCCCTTCCTTGCCTTTTGGGCTACAAACCCTTTCCCCAAATAACCGTCTTACTAACCTTTCTTCCCTGGCACGCATCTTAGGAGGAACTGTCTTAGTCTTAGGACATACCTACTAGCTTTAATATTCCAAGGTCTGATGTTATTAGGTGAATTTCTACTGTGCCTTTTGTTCAGAAAATCTTTCCTGAGCAAGAATCTGTGTGGGCTGGTCACTACAGTCACGTCATTTTCAGTTCCAGGACAACCTATTCCCATTTTACAGATGAGGAAACTGAGGCCTAGAGTGGTGATGCGACAAGCCCAAGGCTGTTCGGCTGCAAAGTGGAGACACTGAGACTCGAACCCAGGTGTGACGGCTCCGAGGGTCCAGGATTTTCCATCATGTTACCCTGGCCTCTCTCTCCCTGGAGGCCAGGGGTCTCACTTCCACTAAAGGGCCACAAACTGTGGTCCTCCTCTGGGCTGTCGCCTGGCCTGAGAAGATAAGGCAGGACTTGAGTGAGAGTGTTTACGTCTCTGACCTCTGCTTTACTCTCAAAGGAGAGTCGGTCAGTCACCCAATGACCTTTATTGAGCACCTATTTTGTGCTGCATCCTGGGACACGAAGATGAAGAGGACAATGTTCCTGGTCTTAAGGAGCTCCCAGTTGGGCTGGGAGACAGGTGAGGAAAGCCACAGCCCTCAACCAGCAGGACAGGGCTGACTTCAGACAGCACAGGGGGCTCGAGGAGGGGGCTCCCTGGGTGAGGAGAGCAGCAGCCGTGCCTGGACGCTGACCTACCCGGAGCCCTGAGAGGCCCAGTCCTTTCCACAAGACTCCTCGGGTCTTCACCCACAATAGCAATAACCAGGTGTTTCCCAGTCAAGCTGGCTGGGACCGAAAAATTGTGGCACAGGAAAACATCCCCAGTGGTAAGAAACAGAGTGGGACCGGGAGGGGACGAACCAGGATGGGCAGAGCCGGGAATCCCAGGAGGCAGAATGGAGCAAAGGAGCTATGGGAACGCGGCAATTCCCATCTCCAGCTCTGGAAGCTCTCCAGTGTCCTGACCAAGCCTGTGCTTCAGATAAAAATAGCCACCACCCAGAGAGGAAGGCCTGGCTCTCTTTGGCATAGGCCACATGCGGCCTCCCTCCTAAGGAGTTCCCCTTGGGGCACAGCCCCAGGGACAGCAGAGAGGACTTCTGCGTGCTCACTCGCCCCACTGGGAATCAAACCAGTCATGTCAAACCTCTCAGGGTCCCCGGTTTCTCTCTCTGGTAAGTCACAGCACCATATATGAACATTTCCCAGCTGCAGAAGGCCAGGCTGAAAGCGACGCCAAAACACACTGACGCTGGATTGATATGTGAGATGAAATGAGAACGGGGATTGACGTCAGGGAGCATCTACTCTGGTGTCATGACAACACTCAACTTGCTTTCCTCTACGCTAAAATAATTTGAGGGGCGGGGCATCTCCAAAGGCACAAAATGTGGATTGCTTATATGACAGCTATGATGACACTTGACTAAAACCGGGGTTTGGTTGAAACTTCCAGGGGGCACAACTCAAATGGCCATCAGTAGAAGTAACCAGGAGATACACTGCAGAGTCGTCATGGGGGGAGTATCATACGGCAGGCAAAAGGCATGAAGTTGAGCTTTGTGTGTGTGTCAGCATAAATCAAACTCAAATACCATGTGGTGTCAAAAGAGCAAGTTGTAGCATACTATGCTAATTGTACTATTTATGTAAATTTTAAAACATATAAATCATATGTTGGATATTTTGGATATACATGTGTATGTGCATATATATACATCTATATGCGTATATTATATATACCCATATACACTTATGTTCACATACATATATACATGTCTGTGTGTTTGTGTACATCTATGTATATGGGATATGTGTGTGTGTGCACGCACGCGCACGCACGTTTCCATAGTAAAACCAGGACTGAATCAGGCCAAGTCCATGGTGGTGGCTGACTCCTGGGCGAGGGCAATGGAGCTGGGAAGGAGAATGTGAGGGATTTCATCTTCATCTTTAATGTGTTGTTTCTATTTTAAAATCTCAAGCAGATATGGAGGTGTCAACTTCTCTTCACTTTAGGCGGACAGGCCGAGTTGGCAGGAGCTTCGAAGCGGTAACCGAAGGGGGCCGGTCTGCGGTCCTTGGCTACGGCAGCCCTAGCAAGCTGACATGTGCATCAGAGAAGTGGGCGGGCAGGATCTCATGTCAAAGAGTCCACTGGCCGCTGTCTGAACAGGGGCACGAGGGAAACAGAGAGGCAAATTAGGAGGCTGAGGCAAGGGTCCAGCTGGAACCTGGCAGGGACCTCAGCACTGTCTGTCAAATCAACAAGCCCACCAGCTGAGGCCCACCTCATGGGCAAGGCCGGCTCCCTTGGCCTGTGTGGACCATTCAGCCTCCACTGCCCAAACAGCTCAATCAGAGCTTAGGGCCAACGCACTTCAGGCCCTTTTCTATTTTTCAATAAAAAAAAAAAATTTCCTAAATGAGACATACACACCATCCAAAGCTGCCTGGAGCCTTCCAATGACAAGTACGTGCTCCCCCAGGGGAGGCTGGCGGGGGGTTTACACTGAGAGACACCTACTGTACACTAGCTGCTGCATTTCTCAATTCACCTCCCAATGACCCAGAGGTGTGGGCTCCACTATCCCATTTTACAGATGAGGAGACTGAGGCCTCTGGGGTTTAAGGAACACATCCAAGGTCATACAACTGGCCAGCAGAAAACCCCGGGTTGGAATACGGCTCCATTTGACCTCAGAGCCCTTTCTTACTGCCACCATGCCATCCCCAAGGATGGACTTCCTTACAGATTTCCTGTCACCACCCATGCAGTGGAGGTACCCCCACCAACAACCCCATCTCCCTCTGCAATCCTGTCACCTTTCTCTGCCTCCTAGGCAGATTTCTGGGTTCTGGGGAGCCAAGGCACTGGCTCCCCAGGTCAGGCATGGCTCTGTTGATGAGAAGGCACCAATGTGCCACTCCCAGGGGGAGAGAAACCTTTACCTCTCGGTGACTTTTCACCAAAACATGCCCCTTTCATTGGGCTTGGCACCCCTCCAACTTCCATCTGCTGATGCGCCTTTGACTCAAATGTGGCCCACTGACCTCTGACCCATGGCATGAATGGGTGCTCTCTGCAGAGCGCTCTCCAGCTGCTGGGGTCCCCGCTGTTTTCCTAATGTCCTAAAGGAGCTCACACCTTGGTACCTGGAGGGGGAGGCCCACACGCTTTGGCTCTACACTTTTGACCCCCAGTTCTCCTACAGTTGCCAGTGGCTCGAGGAACAGGTACCCCCAAAGGCTTTTTCTAGAGAAGCCCTCCTCAGCTCTCTGTCACCCCTGGCCTTGTATCAACAGCTTGAAACATCCGCCATGGACGGCTCTACAATATGACAGAAATGCTTTCTGGAAAATCTTCCTCGCCTTTGCAAAGCCAAACCCATAAGACCACAAATAAGATATAGGCGCCAAGGTCTCATGGGAACAGACCAGACATCAGGCCACAGCGGAGACGCGCGGGACCAACAAGGCTTTCAAGTCCCAGAGTCAACAGGGAAACCCAAGCCTGGCGAACGAAAGTCACAGGAGTCAAATTCCTGTAGCGTGGCCCAGAGCTTTCAGACATTTGGAGTCTTCCAGCATGGCGGCTTGCTTTCAGCCCCATTTTACAGAAAATAAAACTGAGTCCAGAAGACACTGCCTGGTATTTATGAGGCTGTGCTGCTAATAGAACCAAGATTTGACATCCCGCTTTCTGAAAGTTTGGGGGAGCTTTCAACATGCCGTTGCTGTAATAGAGGCTCTACAACCGCCCCCTTCCTCCCTGGCCAAGGCTCTCTGTGTACATATGGGGTCAGCAGGTCCTCAGGTTC